CAGCCAGGGAGGCAGCGCGTTGGCGGAACCATCGCCGTGCGAGCCGGAGGCGGGGGGAGCACGCATGACTCGCAAGGGGCGGCGGGTTTGGCGCCCGGCGCGATTCTGCTCCACGCTAACTCCTGAATCTCCCTCTGTTTCTCTCCCCAGGATGGACCGGTTGGCCTGCCCCCACTGTCGGCGGGAATTCCGTCAGCAGACCAATTTGCGGCGACACCTGAGGACGGCTTGTCTGGAGCTGTTCGCCGCCCGGCCCTATACCTGTGAGCGGGGGTGTGGTCGCTGTTTCTACCGCTTGGATGTGCGGGATCGGCACCACCGACACTGCGACCACGTCCTCGTCGGCCAGGTCAGGGAAGAGGATCCTGACGTCCTGGAGGTCTTCGCCAGTGACGGGGAGTTGGAGGGTAACGAGTTCCCCCGAGGAGCAGCCAGCCCCCCTCCCTGCCTGCCCTCCGGGTGGAGCCGCCCGGACCCGCCCCTGGTCAGCTGCCGCGGGTGAGCCCTCTCTGCCGGTGCCCTCTCGGCACCGAAGGCAGGGGTCGCGGGGCCGGCCGGAACGACGAGACCAGTCGGACTCGCCTTCCGGTGCGGCCTCGGGCCCTCAGGCGGCCGCTGTGGCCGGGACCGCCCCCCTGCACCGCTCAGTAGAGACAGAGACACAGACTGAGGAAGAACCCCCAGCCCCGGGTTTGGAGCGGGGGCCGTCGGAGTCTGCCCCCCGGCTCGTGGGTGACGTATGCGGGAGGGGTCCGCCTGCAACTGGGGGTGCGAGCCACCCTACAAGAGGAGCGGGCCACCAGAGATGCAGACACCACGATGGACCCAGCCCTGTGCGAGCATCACCACAACCAGTGGCAGTTGGAGGTAGCCCCCACTGGCTTGGACCGCCGCGGCCACCGCCAATTCCGGACCCGAGTGGTTCACACTTATGAGGTCCCGGGCCGGATGTTGTACACCTTCGGCGGTGAGCCGTATGTGCAATACGGTGTCGATGCCGACTACGCCGGGCAGCCGTCCCTGGGGGGCTTCTTACCTCCGGGAGCACCGCCTCCGACCCAGTACCCTGAGCAAGTTCCGTGGCAGTTCTGGGACCAGCTGTTCCACCGGTCGGAGGTCCAGCGGGAGCCCCCTCCACCGCCCACCGGAGTCCGCCCCCCCGGAGCAGCGAGGCAACGCCCGGGGGGGGGGGCGAGGCAGTGACCGGAGCCCCCCCACACTGGACCCCTGGATCCCCCCATGGTAGCGGAGAAGACCCTTGGAACCCACCAGACATGTACTTGTTGCTTGGTTTCACTCTTTGTAAGCTGCGCAGGGGCGACCGGGATGGCCTCGGGCTGGCCCGCCGGGTTGCGCCGACTCGTTTGGGGACGAACAAGAGTCCTCGGAGGGGGTGGTGTAGCGCCGGCGGGTCCAGCCGGTGGGGGCGCCAGCTCGGACCCGCATGGAGTTGGCTGGCTGCCCGCGCTGGTTGCGAACGGCCCGCGGTTTTCCCGCCTCGCGCCTGCGCAGTCCCTGCCGTGAGGCGCCATTTTGAAAAAAAGGATTGTCGGAAGAGGACATTGTGGTGCTGTCAGATTGTGACAGAATAAAGCAGAGATTTTTGTGACCAGAACAGTGAGTTGCACCAGCGTGTCGTTCTTACAGCGTCGAACCCTGTGCAGCGGGACACGCTACACTATGTACCAAAAAGAACCGTGTTTCGGGCACCTGATCCACCGGTAGTGCGCAATGCCATTTGTTATTAGGCGATCTCTATTCTGGGTACCTGGGTACCCGATGTTAACAAAAAACAGGTACCCGGTTCTAAAAATACCCTCAAATGCACACCCCTACAAACTGCTGAAACAGTTTGACCTCCTACACAAAGAGGACAAACTGTTTCAGCAGTTGGAAATGGCACTGCTACCTAAGACTGATACCAGGCAGTAAGTGTAATTTCTGTAAAAAACATATGACCAAAATGAAGAAAAAAATTACAAGCACTCAGCATAAATGCTTGAAATGAGTCCACTAAACAAAAATCCTTGTTTAAAATGATCTGTTGGATGAAAGGACTCTATGTGCGAGTTAAATAGACTCTTCAAATCAATGCATAAACCTGTTGTCAAGAAATGGTGTGTTTACCAAAAAACACAATTATCAAACATTTTGAAAAAAGTGCGTAGTTGTGCTGAATGAAATTGATGCCTTTTTTCAACCACTATCAACTCAAATGAACCACTGGCAAAAATATCTGACTGAGTGAGGGGTATCAAAGCCTTGAATTTGCCAGAAAGGTTCCAATAACTCCAAAAAAGGCCACTTCAGGTTGAAAATTTCTAAGCAGTGTGATGGCTCCATCAGAAATTGATGCTTGTAAAGCTTGAATAGATTAAGCCTTGAAGGCAACTGCAAGGTCAGAATTATCCTGCTTTGTCTCCTCTGCAATTTTGACCAAGTGCTCCATAGTTTCTTGTACTGCATCAGATCTCCTTTGGGATTAGGCAACCAAGTCCATATATATTGTCCGTTTCAACACAAAATGGCATGTAGTGACATACCATCCACAGACTTTGTACACATGATATGTCAGTTTGTGGTACGGCAACTACACACGACACTTTGTGGCGCAACCAATGATGTCATCGGAAGTTTCAGGCAGGTAATCTGTCACAAACAAAGCCAGTAACCCATAGCAACTTCCATGTGAAGGACTGGAGGAGCTCTATTGAATCAAGGTTCTCTTGCTGGATCATTTTCTTTTCCCTCGTAATAACTTCACTGGATGGAGTCAGCTTGAATTAAAGATTCTTCAGAGAGCTGAAAAACAGTAGATCCCCTTCTCATCAAAGCATCTCCTCTCCTCCATGGCCAGAGTCTCTGCATCATGGGTTTTGGGGCAAAGACATTTCTACTTGGAACACCAACAAGAAGCTTGACTGAAGTTGGTGAATGAATGCGCGTGCTCGTCTTTGGTTCACAGTTTTTGAAGCCAGTAGTAAGGATCAGGATGTAGGATTTCACTGCAGAGAAAGTTGGGAAATTTAACACCAGAGTAAAGAAACTGGAGGCAACAGAGGAGTCAGAAATATTTTTGGAGAAATGTTTGGCTCTTGCTGCCAAGAAGGCCAGTACGTTCAACTTGCACCACATTATCAACCTGACCCTGATGAACTGAGGTGCCCCTTCCCCAGTCCTTTGAATTCAGCAACCACTTAACGCAAACAAAGTTACCACTGATGGATGGTAGTCCACATATGCGACCAAGGCTAGAAATCTTTTGGTTTGTGTGAGGCGTGGAGGGCAAATCGACATAGTGCTTTGACAAGTACCAGTCACCCTTCATCAAAGATGCTGAGTGAAAACTGCGTCGTTCATTGACTCCTCAAGCATTCACCATCACAGAACCAGACCAAGCTCAGTGACAAGAGTGGCACAGTTACTTTAGAATGGATCACTCAAGGAAGCTTTTGCCTGTTTCATCATGAAGGAATCAATAAAATGTACGAATCATTGCCCATAAAACGGTGTACGCCTGACACCGCAAGTAGCAAGCAAAATACCCATACCATCTCCGATCTCACCAAGAGGAAGCAGACACTTATATACTTTCATACAAAATGCATCTCAGGGGATAATATTCTGATTAGGGCACTCTGGAAGGTCGGTAGAACTAACATCATCATGGACTATGGTACCTGGCAACAGCCAAATGTCTGTTTGGTGCATCTGAATGGGCATCTGTTCTTAACCAAGTGTTATCAATGAAGTAATAATTGGCTTTCATGCCATTAATTGTTGTGATTTACAGCATCTATATGCAGATCAAACTTGTGTTACTGCAATGCAGTATCTGACGACTGACAAAGTAGACATCCCACTTATTACCTTCTGTCTGCTTTCTATATGGGTTCAAAATATCAGACATAAATGAAGCAAGATACAATGCATTCCCAGGAATGAATGGTGGTAATGAGAAGGGACCTCTTGCCAGAAAAAAAAGATGAAAAAAAAAAGATAACCTGTGCCTCTCTTCCACCGTACAAACAAGACGTTCGGCAAACATAAAGGCCCACTGTGCAGCAAAAATCTGGAAGAGGGCTGACTAGGCTGGTATTAAGTTCAGTGCTAGAGACCCTTACAGATGACACTGACAGTGTGGAACCTACATGAACACATGATGCAAATGACAGGACTCATATAATAGTGAGGAAAGTGAAGATGAGAGTGATTAAGACGTGTAATGTACTGATGTTATAACATTAGCAGCAGTGTCGTCATTCGTGTAGGATACATGTACCATGGCCTTGCAAGTCACCAGTAGGTATACATGTACATTGAAATTCCATAAGCCACTTTTCCATGACCATCTAGTTTATGGTGCAGTTAAAGTTTTCGGCATCCCTTCAGCATCCCTTCAGCTTAAACTTTGAAGAACTCATTTTATGTTTTTCAGTAATGGTATCGCAAATTGAGATGATATACAGTAAACCACATATTTTCAGGTACTACAGTGGTGCTCAATGTTAAGACTGACCATTAACAAGAGGTGTAGAGACTGCATTTATGATATTACCATGTATAGGTCTGTAGATATTGCCAAAATGGGCATTTTAGTACTGACGATGTGCTATTTTATAATTTTGAAGCTTAGTACATGCCCTTGATCTGGAAACTAATGCATTTCTTTTTAATGTCCCTATCAGATACTTGCGCCTCATGAGGTCGACTGTTCTGGCACTTTTTGCATTCATAAAATGTTATGGACTCCCAATCTACAAATATCATTTTTCAAGATGTATTTTTTGCGGTGGGGAGATGTTAATTATATATAACAGGTTTGCCCTTACCCAACGTATATTAATAAGCACTGTATGCTCAGTGCTTGTCCGAGAGCTTGCGAAAAAAAATATCATCTTGGTTATTTCCCCGTGATATGTCCTCTTTGTCAGAAAGACAGTCCTCTGAGAAAGCGTATCTGAAAAATTTAGGATCCTTGATTTTAGTTGGCCCGAAAATTTAAGGCGTTAGGGTTTATCCAACAGAGAAGACTTTGGTTTGGTAGGTGAGTGCTGCCAAGTCAGTTGATACACTCCATCACTGTCACGGCATCTAATTGGAGCCAGCACTGCAGATTAGAAGTGCCCGGAGAAATTGCGAACTGTACGAAGGTCCAAGGCACTGATGTGAGGGCTCAGGAAATGGGGACTCAATGACCACACTAGCTGAGAGGTCACTCATGCTTCCAGCCCGATGTCAACACATCGGTAGTGATCGTCATCTCTGGGGAAGCCGTGGAAAGTAAAGGTTGCCTCAAGGTCGTCCATCCACCAACAAAGATGTGGATGGAGTAGCAATGATATACACTGTATACACGAGTATTGTGATTGGATCTCACTAGGGAAGATGGTACATGTACACTATGCTGTAGTTTTAGTGGTCTCGTGGGATCATTACAACACCATGGGACAAGATATAAGAGGCTGACCTTAGGCACAATGAGACAAAAGCACGGGAGAGACTTTTTGATTGACGAGTAAGCAAGACTCTACCGTTCACAGCCGAAGACTGGCAACTAGTGCAGCTATTGGAGTGGACAGACAGGAAGACAGGTCATTAAGACTGGACGAGACTCATTTTTTTGTGGTTTAATAGAAATCCCAGTTGTCGAGATATCAGGAGGTCACGGTATCTTTGATGTACATGTGCTGCAACTGCTCGTTATGCAAGTGAATACCACTTGTGATGTTGACAGACCAAAGGGGAAGACGTGGAATTCAATAAAATACTGTTGTGCGAGAACCTTAGATACATGTACTTCTGGTGCTAAGGGTGAACAGGCTATTGATAAAAGATATAATTTTGTATGAATTGGTTGGACTGCATGTGTACACTTCGCATACCAAATATGAAATGTGAAATTGAGATTAACTGATTAAAAAGGAAAATAAATTAGAAATGTAAGCCCAATAAATCGTAGGTAAATGAAAAGTTAAACAGTGACCAAAAAATCAAACTTCTGAACGGTTGTGCTAAATATTACAAAGAATTTTGTTGCGAAAAGCACAGGGGCAATCGAATGAGACCAACTAGATAACAAGGATTTATGTAAGTGTTGTAAAAAACAACTTATCACCTTCAGCGTGCAGGTAGCCTTGGCCTATCAAGTATTGTTTGAGGCTTTGTCAAATAGCATTGGAGCATGGGAGACTGTATCTGTCCTCATATTCTTGTCTGTTGACAATTGTGTTACCAGTCAAGTTGATGTTGCATGGGTCTTTTTGATGAAAACACTTGTACTGCAGCAGCTTCTCGGTAGTTTGACGATGATGAGTTCCCCCTAAGTGTGCATGGTAGACAAGTGCCCGGATATTTCCTCAGAAGTCAGTCTGCGCAGGGAGCGTGGTGAAGTCCATGTCAATGCCCGCGGTGTAAGGACTGGTCCCAGGAACAAGCAGATGGCTCTCTTGATGTCGTCGTTTGTTGGCTGGCATTGCTCCAAATCCATAACGGTATTGAGAGTGGTAGAAATGAACTGTTGGTAGGAAGGAATTTTATAGGATTGATTAGTTCGGTGCTGGTCGTGGATGGGCTGAAAGGTGTGTGTCACTGTGTGGACATTGAAGTGAAACCAACCGAGACCCTGTCTCTGACCCGAGCCCTGTTTGAAGTTTCTCCCCATAGAAGAAATTGCAAATGTCCAAATCAGCATCAGTTAAAAAATGTTTCACTTGAAGCTGACCCTGAAGTAAATCAATATACTTGTACGATGAGCACATGTTGAGCAGTGATACTACTTAGCGTAAACGATAGTCAACTCATAAAGTCTGCGTCAAGAACTGAAATTACCTTTTTGAGAGCAGAAAGTTATATTATTGAAAATCGAAATGTATTAACAAATTATGACGCTGCTTCTATATTTGCGCAGGAAAAGATTAATTTTTTAACAATTGTGCGATGTCAGGAGGCTGCCATCTTTGAATTCGCATGATAAACGACCGGTACCAAGATGGGAGCTGGTCCAGCTCGTGTGAGCGGTGCCGATTTTGATGATTGTGAATCAAGTGCATACGTAGAGTAGAATATTTGTGAATAAAACTGAGCCAATGATTTGTTGATGCTGGTTGGCATTTGTTGATGCTTGTTGGCATCGCTTGTGCGAGCCCGACCAACCGTCATCTTAATACAGGACGTTAATAATCTTATAAAAATTCAGTAAAATCTCGATAAGTCGAAGCTCAGGGGAATGGACGAAAAATTCGAGTTATCTGACATTCGAGTTATCGAAAGTTACTCGCTTCAGTGCATATGCAACCTTACTGGCTTACGGCAGTTGGCCTGCAAGCTGAGTTGAACACGAAGTGGATTTTAGGCTATCCCTACTGTGCAAGTTTTCCTCAAACATCATCATTAAACATGTTTTTATGTGGTAATAAACAATAAACCAATGAAGTTATGTACCTGTACCTGTGTCTACGTCTTGAGAATTCATTCATTTGCTTTCCGTGATTGGGCTGTTACCGCATAATGCAGCGCGCGGGCCAGTCGGTCAGGGTTTCCGTGCTGGGTCACGTGATACATGTACAAAGCGCTTGAGGGCGCATCATTCATGCCTGATTTAGGCTGCATCCGAAACTCTTGTCTAGAGCTAGGTCTTGGTATTCACTCCATTGGAAATGCATGGAGACGCGCAGACAATAGACCTGGCCGTAGCTCTGAAAGCCTGTGTTGGACACGGCCTTATTCTTTAACGGTTGTGGTTGATGCCCACCCAGTGCTTGTCAACGTGACAATGTTAGCCCGTGTAAACATGCTTGGCTCATCAAAGAAAAGCCGTGCGCAAAACAGTAATGACTCATAATGAGGGCAAGCGTTCTTTTATCACTTTTTATTTATCATTCTTCAGTGTTTTTTTTAATTGGCCAACCAAAACTTCGAGATAAGCGGCTTAAGTGGTATTAACGTTTCGAGTTATGGACAGTTTATTCTACATAAAGGCCTATTCTTTTGTCAGGAATTCAGAAAGACGTCGAGGTAAACGGGCTTCGACTTATCGAGATTTTCCTGTAGTATATTTGTTTCAAAAAGGGTAATTTTGAGTTTTTAACGCTAATTGTATAAATTGACGCTTGTTGACGCTAGTTGACATTGAATAGTATATAGGTTCTGGGTCTAATAGTAAAAGATTGCCACACCAAAGGGTGAGTATAATGTACTGAAACATGCTTACCTCAAGGAGGATGTCTTTCTGCATATGGCAGCAGGAAGTCAATCGACAAGCTTTTGCAAGCGTTTCCTTGGAGAATTGTGATGGTGGTTTGCTGGGTACGTTTCCACTCACAAGGTTTTGAAGGACTTGATCTGTTACGTGTATACCAAGTGCTAGTCTTTGCATAATATCCATTTTCTTAGACCTACGGGGTATAATACCGTTTCTGATTGCTTCGTTCAGTGTGTGAAAAAATTCTGATTCTATGTCGTTCAACATCTCCTTAGCAGAGTCTTGGAATATGTAGGTACATGTAGTCGGGTTAACATGCAGATCATTAACAGCCAAGATGAAGTCAACAAATGAAGTGATGTGTAGTTGGTTAATGAACTGGTGAGCCTCCATACATTGTTCAGGGGTGGAGCGGTAACATTCCGGTGTTAAGATGAGAAATCTGTCCAGAAAACCTTATCCTCCGTCTATCAGAACTACGAGTTTTGCCAAGGGTGGTAGTTGTGTGCTTCCAAGAATGGACAAAGGCGTGCCTCGTGGAATTTGTCTGTCCGTGTGGGTGGCCATCGTGAAGGAGGCCCCTTCCCCAGAGAAAAGTTTGCACAGCAAGGACATGTCGTTACAGGTGCTTTCGTCAGCCTTCAGTAGCTTGTTGAGAATGTCAAAAATCTCAGGGGCAAGAGGAGTCATTGCTTGTCTGTTGCCAGTTTCTTGAAGAGTTCTGATGGTGTTGCCTTCTCCATTATGAAGGAGATTAACTCCTTGTCCTGTATTAGTTGGGATAGAGGTCCTGTGGCAGCGAACTTGATGGCTTGCAACAAACAGCATGTACACATTAGGCATGGTGTAAAAGCCATGGAATGTAGTGAGCTTGTGTGAGAGAGTAAGGATTGGAGAATGTGGTCATCAGGAGAGACATTATGATGTAGCCCGAGTTGCCGTTCACAGATGCAGCGAACTGTGTGACGAAATCACCTGGGCCATCGGTAAAGAGGCCAGTGTAATCAAAAGGTGTATTTATGAGACGCCGGTGTAGTTGTGTCCAAATTCTTGGGTGCTGCTTCGCAATTTCGCAAAGGCTGAAAATTGAAATGGTTGAGTTGACTGCTAGTTCCGTAAAAGTAGGGGAAGATTTATTACCTTTAGAGTGATGTGCCAGATCAATTAGATTGCCGTTGATTTGTAGGCTTCCGAATTGTTCTTTGTTCATGGCGCATTGAAATCGAAGGTGTGAACAATAATTTGTTGTGGCGGCTCCGCCGCTGTCGGCTTCCATAGACTCTGGGCAGCGGCACAGAACAATTAAAATGGGGCGTCATCTAAGGCTGAGAAAACCACGGAGTAGAGTCGGCTTCCATATATTTGGGCGGAGGCACAAAACAATTAAAGTGGGGCGTCATCTAAGGCTGAGAAAACCACAGAGTAGAAGTCTACTGGAAGTGGCCAAAAATTGGGAGATTAGTGGCGGACTACCCAAAACTTTGTTGAGGTCAATCGCGGCTTGGCAGTTGAGCAGTACTGGAGGCAGATAAGCATGTTCATTAAGCATCTCGGGCAATCGTTGTCGGTGGCTCAAAAGAATGAAATTGGAGTGTCAGTAAGGCCGGTATGGCTTGTTGTTGTTGCATGGATGGCAAAAGAGAGGTTGAATAAGAAAAGGTAGAGTTGAAAATGTGGAAGAATCAATGTCTATTCCATGCTTCCTTTACGTACACAAGATGCAATGTTAGAAGTATTTGTGCATTAGTTATGCAGAGTGACATGTCACATAGACATAAACTGTGGTCGGGGGAAGGCCACTGGAATGATTATTGTTACAAAAACGGTAGGCCATTATGTGCGAACTTCAGCTTCCAAAAGGTATTTGGCGTATGGTAACTATCCGGTAGAGGCAATTGTGAAACGCCTTAGGTTCATCATGAAGAGAAGAGAATGAATTAGGTGCATCTTGGACGACCTGATAAGTAATTGCGCCTGTGTGTGCGTATGTCAAAGTAGAACCAGCGGTTGCTGTATGCATGGAAATGCTCAATGATGAACCGTAGTTGATAGAAGTGCTTTTCCAGGCAAGTTTTTTCAAATACTGGCTTGTGAGTATCCACTCACAAACAATGTGTGGAGCTAATTGAACAGGCCATCGGTGAACTGGGAAGAATAAGTCCCAGTTGATCAAAGAAAATAGTTCTCGGCGTTTGGCGTCATACAACATACACTTTGCAGGGTTGTTTGCATATCAGTAAAATTGACAAAGTCCGAAATGTTAGTTATACTATCCATTGCTGTGTTGTGAAATGGTGCAGAATCAATGGACATTTACAGTGACCGGAAGCGTGTATTGGAGGTGTGTATTCAGTATGATTTCACAGATACTAACTGTGGGAAGGAGTGACCGTGGGTTGTCATGGTGTCAACAAGTTAACATTCATGCTTCGGTTACACAAGTTAACAATGAAAGGGTGGCGTTGAAACTGTACATGCGCAGATGAGTTAAACGTATTGTTTGTGTTGTGTGTCTGTTGACAGAAAACAAGTGCTTTAAAGTACCTTGGTCGTGTGTACAGAGAGTAATTGTTGTGAAATACATGAAGGCGGCCACCAAGAGAAGACCAAATCGTAGAGGCATGGAAGTGTGAAAAAATGGGGAGATTGGTAACAGAGCCCCCAAAAATATGTCGGGCCCAGTCTGGCAATGGTAGATTATCGGCAGGGTATCCAAAACTTTGTGGAAGTCAAGCATGGTTTGCCTGGCTATTATGAGAAGCACTGGAGGTAGAGTCAGAAGGATTTTTTATTAGCGAGTCTTGCAAGGCTAGGAGCTTAATAAGGGCAGAGTGGTTTTTGATCATTGAATTATATATCCGTTTTGTTGGCACAACATTCCTCGCTGATGCAAAGAGGGGGATTGGAAAAGAAAATAAAGCCAGTTGAAATTAAGGAAGCGTGGGTTAAATAACCCAGCCACAACTAGCTATACATGTTCTTGTAATCTGTCGTGTATTGAAGAAGTGAGATTTTTGGTTGCGAAATGAGCAAGTTTGTTAGAAAATGTAACGTTGGAGTCCAGCATGGCAGTTCAAGCACCAAAGACGAAAGCACCCAAGTTGTTAAGGGTTCCTCATCGTACCAGTGGCATCAGGATAACTGCATCGGTGAGAGATTCATGACCTACGACAGGTTGTGTAGGGAGGTGTTATGGAGCTTCTACACCACTGTAGCATGGTGCCAGAACATGGGCTTAATTGCAACAGAGATGAAAGATCATGGAAGCAGCAGACAGATTGGACCACCAGAAATGGGAATGCCGCCAGCAGGTA